GGAAAAAAAAGGTTTGTACATCCAATATTTTAATGAAGTTGCATGATGTCAAGCGAATTGAACTAGAAGTAATTATTTTCATAAAGAATTCTTTTTTTTTGTTAGTACCGTCGTTATTTAGATCCTCATTCTTTTCTCGTTTGATTCAGAGTATTATTAAGAAAAAAAAACGTACTCGAACTATTCATTAAACTATGATCTAAAGTGTTTGGCAAGTGTCATTTACATATCTCACGTCGTGATAATATACGTGTCTAATAGAAAATGTTAATTGCAAGTGAGATGGACAAGCGATGACACCGGATAGATGTCCGTGACTGTGATCCATGTAGTTTTGTTGTCTGTCGTCCCTATCTTTCTTTTTCTTCTTCTTCTTCTTCTTCATATGATTGTGCAATCTTTTTCTCTTCTTCTGTTGACAAACGCATCGAGTTCGATAAGATGAGTGCGCGAGACAAATATCATCATTGCATCGTTCATTCACATTAGTCTTTTCATCATTGTTGTCTGCAAGCGAATGAGCAATGGGCAGCAGCAGCAGCAGCAGTCAAATGTTCGTCGGCATTCCATCTGTCTTCGTTGTCGGGCAACACATCTTGTCGCGGCATCAGTCGTTGAATATATTAACGATTAATAACAATTTTTCTTCTTCTTCTTTTCATACATCCAATGGACATTGGTCATTTATATTTGATTTCTATAATTAATTTTATAGTATTACGCGATACGAAGAGAGGAATTTAATTAGTATGTTGAATGTCCGTTTCTCTTATTTATTCTTATCGTAACGGAAATCATTTATATAAAAAAACCTATATATATATGTGTACATCGATTTTAGATTAATGAATAGTATTAGTTGCTAATATCGACAAACAATGATTCAAATTCTTTTCATTTCCCTTCTATTTCGTAAGTGTCAAAAACAAAAACAATTTCATAATAAAAATATTATATATTTGTTTATTAGACTTATGTCAAAGTAATAATAACCCTCCAGTTATTATCGAAGAACCTCAAGATATAATCGCCGAATTAGATAAACCAATGGCTATACATTGTCGTGCAGAATTATCACCATTAGATGATCTTCAAATCGATTGGTATAAAGACGGTCTATTGGTAACAACTGATCCTAATGCACGTATTATAACAGAATTTATGGCATTACATGTTATCAATACAATGCCACAAGATGCAGGTGTATATTATTGTATAGCAAAAAATTCTCATGGTCAAACACAAAGTCGAAAAGCACGAATACAATTTTTAAGTAAGTTAAATTTACTTTTTTTTCAAACTATAATTGTTTATTATTATTCAATAGAACTTGATAAAGAATTTATTATTTCACCAATATCAACAAGTGCTTCACTTGGTGAACGTATTCATTTATCTTGTCAACCACCTTATGGTTCACCAACTCCAAAAGTTTATTGGACAAAAGATGAAAAAAATTTATCATTACCTCTTGATAATTATGATCTGATTTTACCATCAATTCAAATATCTGATTTTGGTTCTTATCGTTGTATTGCATCAAATGGTCTTATTCGTCAATCATCTGTAGCTAATATAACTGAATTTCATCAACCAAAAATAACTATTCAACCATCATCATCACGAATTGATGTACGTCTTGGACAAGCTATTAATTTACAATGTGAAATTGATAATAAACAATATACTATTGAATGGCATTTTCAAAATAAAATTATTCGTAATAATACTATTGATATATTATCAATTGAATTTAATCAAAGTGGTATATATACATGTATTGGTCGTTATGAAAAATATACATTCAATAAACAAATATTACTTGCTGTATATGAACATGAAATTATCAATAATGAAGAAATATTTTATAGTGAATCAAATTTAACAGTTTTTGCTGGACGATCAGCAATTATTGAATGTCAATTACCATTTAATTCTGATAATGAAATAACTTGGATGATTACAAATCATACTGAAATAAATAATGTGACGTTTGATTTTCTTGATAAAAATCAATATCGTTTTAAAATTTATCCTGTTAAAAATTATCATAATAATATTTTATTTAAATGTTCTTATGAAAATAAGCTAAAACAAAGTCAAGGTTTAATTCAATTAAATGTTGAAAAAGTTCTACCACCACCTATTGTTTCTTATATACCAAATAATCAAACAGTATCAATTGGTGTTCAAGTTATTCTTTCATGTGAATCAAATAATGAAGATAATATTCAATGGTCATTCACACCTTATAATCGTCCATATAAAACAATTAAAGTTATAAATAATCGAAAATATCGAATTGAAAAAAATCATGATTTAATTATTCGACATCCGGAAAAGTAAGTAAAGAAACAGATATTTCACTTAAGTATAGAAAAATAGCGATGTCTTGCCTAGCATCCGGCGGGACTGTCCCGATCCTTATTTTTTTCTCGAACTCGATCTATATCCCGATGGGAGCGAAATCTAAATTCCGACTTTTCTCCTGACGGGACGGGATCGGGACTACGGAATCTCGAGTAAATACGTTAATGGTCTTTCAGTTTGGATGAATTGTATTCACAGATAATGGTAACGGCATCGAAAATCCTGAAAAAATATTTTACCATGATCGGGACGGATTTCTGTCGAGTGGAGAATGGTCGCGATCGGGATGAAAAAAACCGGTCCCGCCGGACCCTAGTCTTGTCGAATACATATATTTTAATGCTTATTTTCCATTTAATATACACGAAAAATATGAATTAGATATTTCAAGAAGATCGAGTTAGCTTTCTTTATATCAATGTAAAATCTATAGGTAGTTTTTGTTGAAAGAAGTTCTCATCTTCTCATACAAAAAATTTAGGAGAAAAAAGAAACAACATTTGTATTTACGATTGTCCGAAATACACACAGAATCTATATATTTGTCTGTAGTTTGATTAATCAATCTTTAGTAAGACTTTTTTAATATGTGCATTTTCTTTGAAATATTCAGAATCATACCGAAATGATCATATTCATTAAATAATAAATGACATTGTTAACTCTCTTTTACTGTAATGAATGTATTTACTTGAATTGTTTCAGAAATGATGCAGGTATATACAAATGTATATTAACTAATAATAATAATGATAAAACAACATGGATTGGTCATTTACAAATTGAAGATAATCGTTTTAATGCAAAAATTCATCGTGTTGAACGTAAAGATCTTCCACAAGCACCATCACAGCCATTAGCTATTACTATAAATAGTAATTCAATTAAATTAGCATGGAATAGTCAATCAATAGATATTCTTGATTATCTTATTGAATATTATGATCTTAATCCAGACAATAAAAATCTTGAATGGAAATATTTCTCAACAAAAAATCGTACATCTCAGCAGATTATAAATAATTTACAATCAAATGCAATCTATCAATTTATGATTCGTGCAAGAAATTCATATGGTTATGGTCCACCTTCAATATTATCCGAATTAATCGAAATAAAAACTAATCAACAATCAACTAATGAATTAATCTATTTATATGATCCAATAATGATTCAAGGAACAAGTATTACAATTAAATGGAATATTTTACAAAAAAATCACTTAATTAAACAATTCTCAATTTACATAATCAATGAAAAAG